GTTTCTCTAAAGTACCCAGACTAATACAGGGGGTCACCACCACATGAGGAACTGTATTAAAGGGTCACAGCATTAGGAGGTTGAGAACCACTGCTCTAGAGATCTCTTTCGTCTGTAAGCAGCTCCTACAGTCATGAACAGTTTGAGGTTTCTGTTTGTGGTCTAGTTTTTAAATAAGCTTTCCCATTTGACCCAACATAGCGAGAGTGAATTCCCCACCTGCAGATCTGCTTTCCATGTGTTACTGACATCCAATCCTTGGAGAACACATTGCATCAGCAGTCGGAAATCCTCAGTTGTCCCAATTGCTAACATCTGAGTAAACAAGGCTCCCAAATGAGGTTCCATGTCCTGAATCACCTGAATGGGAACTTCAGGATCTGTAGGGACAATAAGCCAAAACGGTTAATCAGATGTCAAAGGGGGCAGGTTAAATTTAGAACAGCCATGCAACAACATATTCAGTGCTATTAAGGTTTGAGAGCATGGAAAATACCCTTTATGAGCTGGATACCAGGACGGGGACATACCTCAGCCTTTCTTGCATCGTGCCAACCTCAAGAACGTGCATGGCTGCATTTGTGTGTGTGCACGTACAGAGAAAAATAAACAAGGTCTAACAAGGGTTAGAGCCCTGGTCGTGTATAAACATTGGGCTGCGATCCACAAGTCTGTAGATCAAAACTACCAGTCAGCCCTTGAGTAGAAAGGGTGTTCAACTGCTGTGAAGAGCCAGTCTCAGAAACTCACAGGAACAATTCTACCCCGTCCTCTAGGGGTGCTGAGTCGACACTGACGCGATGGCAGTGAGTGAGGTTTTGGTTTGTAACAATGGTCATAATCAATCCTCCTTGATCCTCAACGAGAAAGTCTTCCTCTCTCACTGCCCTTCAACTTCACCAAACACAATGTCTTTCTCTAGGGGATGGTCTCTCCTGACAACATGTCCAAAGTACAGTACGTGAGATGAAGTCTCTCCATCCTTGCCTCTAAGGAGCATTCTGGCCGTAATACTTTCAAGATAAGCTTGTCCTTTTGACAGCCCATGGTACTTTTTAAAAAAATACTTCTATTGGGGGCTCTTACATCTCTTATCACAATCCATATTCATCAAGTATGTCAAGCACATTTGCACATATGCCACCATCATCATTTCCAAAGCATTCTCTTCCCACTTGAGCCCCTGAAATCAGCTCCCCTTTTCTTCACCCTCCCTCCCACGCCCACCCTCCCTCACAAACCCTTGATAAAGGATAGATTATTTTCATATTTTACATCACCCTCCATCGCCCCTCACCCACTTTCCCATTATTCGTCCCCCTGGGAGGGGGTCCTAGATTGATCCTTGTGATTGATTCCCCTTTTCTCCCACAACCCTCCCCTAATCCTCCTGGTATCTCTACTCTCCTTATTGGCCCTGAGAGGTTTATCTATCCTTGATTCCCTGTGTTGCATGTTCTGTTCTAATCCGATTTGTAAGATAGAACTGAGGTCATGATAGTGGGGTGGAAGGAAACACCAAAGAATTTAGATGCCTGATACCCGATCCCATCGACACTCTATGATCACATAGGCTAGTGTGCTTCTTCCATGTAGGCTTTGTTGCTTCTGAGCTAGATGGCCACTTGTTTATCTTCAAACCTTTAAGACCCCAGATGCTATATCTTTTGACAGCCGGTCACCATAGCTTTCTTCACATTTGCATATGCACCCATTTTGTCTTCAGTGATCGTGTCGGGAAGGTAAGCATCACAGAATGCCAGATTGTTAGAACAAAGTGTTCTTGTGTTGAGGGAGTACTTGAGTTGAGGCCCAATATCCATCTGAAACCTTAATTCTTAACATATAGATATGAGTGCATAGTTCTATCCCCCTCATTATATATATATTTACATATGTACATGCCTGTATTTAGGCCTCTATAAATGTCCTTTACCTTCTGGTTCTTTCCTCTATTTCTTTTTACTTTCCTCTTGTCCCACCATCATGATCGGCCTTCATTCAGGTTTAGTAATTCCTCGTTGCTACATTGCCCTTGATAATGCCCCACTAGGCATCCTACAACCTTCCTTCCATTGATTTTAGTTCCCTTGTTCCCTTGTCCCTGGGTTGGTTTACACCCCCCTCCTTCCTCGCACATCCCCTTCTCCCATATCCCCCCTGAACCACTGGTCCCGTTCTTTTCATCTCCAAATTATTTATCCCATCTATCTTATCTAGATAGACACGCAGATACATTCATAAGTGCAAAAACCAGGCAAAGCCAAATAAAACAACAAAGAAAGTCAAAATCAACAAAACAAAATAACAACAAAGCCATGGACAAAAATGGAAAAGCCTATAAATAGGTCAAGGTCTGTTTGTTGGCCTTTATGACTGTTTTCCAGTTGAGTCTGATGGGGTGCCACATTCTGCCTCCAAAATCTATTTGTGGTATTCTCCGGGAATTTCATCACTCTGCTCCCCTTGCTGCATGCCCTCAGTGCCTTGCCCCAGTGAGATGGGGGCAGACCATGCACTATTCCCGCACTGTATCTTTAGTGCTGTCCCCCACAGTGCCCTGGTTCAGTAAGGGACGCAGTGTCCGTGGTGGGGCTGGCCCTATGGTCCTCCCCAGGTACTTTCAATATTCTTGTCCAGCAGCACAATTCAAAGGCATCAATTCTTCAGTCTTCCTTATTCAACGTCCAACTTGCGCATGCACATGAAGCGATCGAAAATACTATTGCTTGGATCAGGTATTCCTTAATCCATTTCAATACTCTAAAGAAGTCTTGTGCAGCAGATTACCCAATGCAATGCATCTTTGGAGTTTTTGACTGCTGCTTCTATGAGCATTCGTTGTGGCCCAATTCCCTCTCAGTAAATGGGCACAACAGCACCGACTCCTGTATTGTCAAATAAAAGAGGGCACAGTACTCAAGACCATGCTTCTCACTTGGGAAGCACTTGGTGTTAGCTCTCACCACACCATTTCCACCTGTTAGCTCTCACCACACCATTTCCACCTGCTCTTCCCTTCCTTCAAAGGCTGTGTTTACCAATACTTCACTTGCATGGAATCTCTCCACACAAAGGGCCAGATTTCTCCCTCACATCATAGCCTCAGACCTCATTCATCTCCAAGATAGGATATAGCTTCACATACATAAAATTCTTTTTTTCCGCTTCCCCCTGCCCCATTAATCAGCTCTTTATTCAAAATAAGCTGTCCAAAATGATAACTTGTATGGAATAAGAGTTTATGCAGCAGACTTCCTTTCTTCTGTAGTAGGTTTCTGGCTGCTGCTTCTCAGCTGCTGGTCTTTTGCTAGCGACAGCCATCTTCCCCGCATAGGCTGTGCTTTGGTTTCTTCACAACAGCAGCTTTCTTTCTGACCACATGCTTCTTGCCAGGTACCCCCTTCTCATCTAAGCTGGCTTCTAATGCTTCTGCTGCCTTAGCCACCTGAGTTGTGATTCCTGGCTTGAAGAAGAATGGTGTTCTAGCACGTGGTCTTTACATATGGACTGAGCTTCAACATGCTTCTCAAGCTTTTCAGTGGGTTCTTCTCCAAGACTATAACGAATCTTGTGTGGTACTCAAGGAACTCTGGATCTCAAGGTTTTTTCCAGATTTTGCTAAGGTCTGTGTTGTTCATGAGAAGGTTCTGGTTACTTGTGAGGGAGGTAGCTTTGCTCCAGGTGCCATACAGCTTATTCAACTTGCGAACATCATCTTTAGTCCAAACGCAGAAATACCCCACATGCCCACCAGGTGGAAGTTTCTAAATGTCCAGCTTGCTGACATTAAGCAGAGTGATTCCGGGGAAGATCCTGGAGGCCTTAATAATACCATTGTTGTCATTGTAGATAATGCATGGACCCTTGCACTGGTATATGGTTTTCTCATTTTGCCTTGCCAGATTTCATTGGCTCAGAGAATAGTCCTTCTTGATATCATTCCAGGCCATACGTTTCTTAAGAAGCAAAACTGCCTCCTTGGTCTTCTTGTAGCCTTGAACTTTGTCTTTGGCCCACCAAACGAAGTTCAGGAACTTCTTCAATATGATGACCTTTAGACAGGACCAGTGCTAGGAGGGTGGAAGTAGCCAGAGCAGCGCAGATGGCATAGGGCTTCTCACTCGCCAGTGCCAACTGAACCAGGTTTTGGTTGGTGCAAACATGTGACCTTCCAAAAGCAGCTTGGCCACAGCTCTGCCACGACCCCAGGACTCAGAACCAGCCAGATGACCTGCCAGTTCACTGACAGCACAAACAACACTGACTGTTGTTGTTTGCGCAGGTTGATGTAAATGAAATCCACAGTCTCTGGTCAGATGGGAAAGGAGCCTCAGTAGTGCACTGGTTACAGGTTGGGCTGTATTCTGCATGACCAGCAGTTCAAAACCACCAGCCGCTCTGCGGGGAAAAAGATGACGCTTTCTATTCCAAAATGAGTTGCAGTCTCAGAAACCCACAGGGGCAGCTCTACCCTGTCTTATAAGGTTACCGTGAGTCAGAATCGACCTGATGGCAGGTTTTTTGGTTTATCTGTTTTTTTCTTTTCTTTGGGAGGGGGTGTTGGGGGAAGGTCTGATGGGAGCCTTGAACACAGCAGACAAAGTAACATTTCCACCAGATGATTCGCCCTTCTCAAAGTACATTGATATCAGTAGATGGATGCATGCCCCAGTGTGGAAAGAAGGCCATACTCCTCTCCGCTCAGAAGCACCCACAGGAAAAGCTAAAGAGGGGGGAACATGGAGGGAGGGGAAAATGAGGAACGGATATCAAGGGCTCAAGTAGAAAGAAAACGTTTTGAGAATGATGATGGCAACAAATGTACAAATGTGCTTGACACAATGGACAGATGGATGGATTGCGATAAGAATTATATGAGCCCCCAATAAAATGATTCTTTTAAAAAGAAAAGCTAAAGAACATCTTTCTTAAGTGCTGTTTACTTGTTTTAATTGAACTGAGGTAGCCAGTTCTACGATCAAATCATTTTTTTAAAAACTGAAATAGCCTTTCCTAAATCCACAAGAGCCCTGGTGGCATAGTTATGAGTTGAGCTGCTAGCTGCAAGGTCAGCAGTTTGAAACCAGTGGTGAGAGAAGGATGAGGCTCTCTGCTCCTGTAAAGAGGTAGTCTTGGAAACTCAAATGGGCAGTTTTCCTGTCCTACAGGGTCACGATGAGGAGGAATTGACTCAGTAGCAATGAGTTCCAGCTTTGGTATTCTATGGTCAAGGAGCCCTCATGGCATAGTGGAGCTGCTGATGACAAAGTCAAGCGGTTCGAACCCACATCTCTCTGTAGAAGAGAAAGGAGGCTGTCTGGTCTCGCAAAGATGGTCTCAGAAGCCCTAAGGAGCAGTTGATCATGTCCTGTAGGGTCACTGTGACTTGGAATCAACTGAATGACAGTGAGTTTGGCTTTTCTGGTTTTATTCTATCCACCAGTTATTGAATGGGAGAGAATAACCACATTATTCAGCCCGCAGCACTTAAATTCTGGCTCTGGCTATAGCCCAGGCAGGTGGCTTTACTTTCTATAAGGCTACCTTTAACTCTTACATACGTGAAGTAGGGCCTGTGATTCCCTCAGTCAAGAAACCTGAGTGCACAGGGCATCTCAGCACAGCTTACCTACAATGAAGAAGTACAGTCATGTGCTTTAAGGATTAGGCTGCTGCTCCTCATCCTTCCTCAAAAGATTACCCTATGTCTAACCACACCCACAGTCACAACCAAAATTCCCAAATAAACATGCGCACAACCATGATGTGTGCTACCATTAAATAAAGGAGCACCCAGCCTATTAACCTTCAATTTAAGGAACTACAGAGAGAGAATCCTTGTGTAGAAAGACAATACACTTCTGTGTTGGAGAGTCTGATCAGGCTGTCCTGGGACGGTGACATCTGACTGTAGATGAATCATAGCTGTGCCTCTGCAGAACACAGTGTCCTCTTTGATGACGGACACCACTGGACACTGGCAACTGCCAATAATCACAGGAAGAGCAAGGACCGCTGACTAGCATGAGGCTCCTTTCTGCCCTCTCTGAATCCTATGAGTTTCCCTATAAATGACTGTCCTTTGGATGTTTTCTTTTTTAAAGTCAGATGTTACATCTTTTCAAGTTGATTTACAGTATTAAAGATCCCTCACCATCAGTGATCTAAAGACCAATCATCTGAGACCAATACAGGTTAAAAACTGAAAAAGAAGAGACTTATCGAGAACAGTTTCTAAAATACTGCCAAATGAAGACATCCTGAGCAATCTACATTGAATGTAGCCACGTATATTAAAAAGAAAAAAGATTTTATGTGCACAGGACACCTGTACATATTGGAAATGGATTCCTGGGAGTCAGGACTGGGAGGGAGACTTCATGATTTACTGTTCTGGACCTTCTGATATGTATTCCATGTATTAATTTATTTCTTGCTTGAAATATGAGAGGGTGGTGGAAAAAAACCACACATGGCCCTTAGCTGACTTTCATCAAAAACTCTAGAGTACACGATTAGTTCAAGAGAAGATGCCATACCTTTCAGAACTCTTCTTATAGAGTCAAACGTGGAGCTAAAGACGGAGAGGTCCTGGGGGTGGAGTTCTGGTGCCAAAAAGAAGAGAGTTAAAAACTGCAAGGCTGCCTGAAAAGATGGAATGTTTCCCGCTAGGGCGGGCAACTCTGACAGTATCTGGGAGTGAACAGACTGGTATAGAGTGGCATGAGAAAACGGCACTGCATCGGCCACTTTGGAAATCTCTGTCTCTGCATCCCTAGAGGACTGGCTCAGGTCCGCTTCAAGGAGCGTGGTGGCAGAGGAGAGGAGGACTAAGGTCAGGTGCCAGCCAGCAGCACTGGGCTCTGAGCAGAGCTGCAGCACCGCCCCAGTCCGCAGAATGGCCTGTTGCAACAACTCAGGCAGCACTTCTGGGAGGTCCCGTGGTTGCTTCTGCTCTTTAACAAAAGTCCCCAAGACTCGGCACAACTTCGTTAAAGAGATGAGAAGGAGCTGCCTGCCCAGACAACTCTGTTTTTTCAGTTTTTTGCCGGAAGCTGCCATGGTGGACAGTTTGCAGCTTGAAAGAAATGTGATGATTTTCCCAAAATTAAGCACCAAACTCAGGTTTAACTGGATGAGCGTCTGCATTAGCTGTTCTAAGAAGGTCCCTATATCCTGCAGAAATTCCAACCAAGAAGGGTCATCTATATTAATAAGAAACTGACTACTGGCTTTGAACAAGGAGGTCAAGATGATCTGGAAAATATCACTGGCATACATGATCTTGAACACTGCAAGGGCACTTTTTCCTCTCTGCAGGTAACCAAGCAGACGGTAGCAGGTCCTCAAAAACTTGAGAGTTAGTGAGCAGCAAGCACTCCCCAGCTTGCTGGTGGCCATGGACAGTAACAGAAGGAAGCAGTGCACATGATAGGGAGCCAAGAGACTGTCCAGTTGTAGAGCAGAAATAACTTCCGTAAGTCGCAGAATGCTTTCCAATTGTCCGCCATCCAGCTCAATGGGGAAGTCACTCTTGACCAACAACAGTAACTTCTGTCCAATTTCTCCTCTGGACTCTATATCCTCAGGCCCAACCTTTGCCAGTCTGTTTTCCCAGTGAGCTAAAATTGTGTGGTCCTTTTCAAAAAGCCAAGGTAGCTGCTGTCTGAGAAGACTCACGTCCCTCTGGGCACCAGCAACCAGAATGCTGCTACATTTTTCAGTGACACACATTAAGAAAACAGAGTGGAGGTTCTGCATTTCTGGGAAGAGGGGGCTATGAAGGATGGCCACGGATAACTTTTCAAGGGTGACAACGTGCCCTTCATCCGCTGTGTTTTCTTGGGCTTCGCTCACTGGTAAATTCCTTAGCAGGACAGTAGCTAGGTATCTCACATCGTCTGGGGAAAGGTAGGATATTAACATTGTGAGATTTGAGACAATCAAGTGCCAGTGTGCTGCAGGGTAAGTAAGTGCATTCACGGACCCCACATGGCCATCCCAGGAAGCCACTGTCCTTTGACTCAAGCTCGCCTTGCCAGAATGAAGAATGTAGGCGGCATCGTACCTCAGAGTCTGGAGGGCTTCTTTAGATTTCCAGCTAGCATGCATTAAAGTCCTTTTCATCTTCTGCAGATAGAGCTGTTCCAGACAGTACCTGCCGAGAGAGTCAAACTGAGCTGTAAGTTTTTCTATTTTCTTCCAATGTTTTGTTTCTACACTTGGGAGCAATGAGGGGAGGTTTGTGACCTCCAGAGCAGTCCCTGGAAGGGCCCCAGACACAGAGTGATAATGGCTACAGTGTAAACTGAGCATGGTGTCCACCTGGGCCCAGGTGTAGGCGAGCAGGAGTGCAGAGTCACTGACCTGCTGCTGCCACAGGCCAACCTCTGGGCGCTGGGGGCCGATGAGAAGGTGGAGCAAGGGCCGCACGAGTCCACTGAGCATGTTCTCCATCACACACTGAGTCCGTCTGACCACGGGCAGTGGCGTGCTGCTGTCCAGGCTTTTCATGTGGAACATGACACAGTACAGCACCGAGCTCAGCGACAGTGACTTCAGGGCCATGTCAGCATCATCCAGCAAATACGGCAAGACCAACGACTGAAACTTCTCCATCACGAGGGACCATGTGTCCAAGATCTGATTGGGAGGCAACTCCAGAAGGCAATCAGAGAGCGCCGTGGAAGGGACTGAGGAAAAAGCAGGCCGCCTCAGCTCCTCCGCAGCTGGACGACAGATCACACCCAGAACATCCTCAAACAGCCGTGGTACTTGCCGGAGTTTAGCGTAAGTCTGGAATAACGTGGTAATAAGCACCTCCTGGGCTTTTTTAGATCGGAACTCTGTTACTTCTGCATCGATCCAAGCTGAAGCCACCAGGTCATCCAGGTCTGGCTCTAAAATCAAATGATTCAGAGAGATCAGGATTTTGAGACAGCGGAACCAGGCAGGCACCGATGCTTGTGGATGGTTTATCAGCAACTCAGCCAAATGGCGGTAAAAATGGAACTGAACCTCCCCATGCCGGATCTTGTCGGCAGCAATGTTGTAGATGTTGTTGTTGACCACTGCGGTTAGAAGCTGCTCCACAACCAAAAGTTCTGTAGTCCAGTCTGATGTGGAGAGGACTTTACTCTGTTCCTCCTGCAGGTAAGAAATTCTCAGGCATTCAAACAACTTGGGGAGCACGTGGAAGCAGAGAAGCTGGTTCCCCTCCTTAAAGTAAGACTCTAAAAAAAGCTTATATAGCAAGGCCACTGAGCTGGCCACAACAGTTGCATGAAGCGATGGCTCACAGTAGCCAGTAGCTACCACCTTGGAGATCAGCGTGTTGATGGGTGTTAGCAGGGTTTTCACAGCCCCCATCTTGGCACTGCCTTGCTGCTGTTCGAGAAGCTCTTCTTTGTAGGAAGGAAGCAGCTCGGGCGGAAAAGCTCCACCTCGAAGCATGGCTTCAATCTGGTTCCTAATGTCCCGGCTCAGGGCCTGCCGCAGCTGTCCCTGACCAGTCTGTGTCCACTGGCCCACCGAGAGTAAGTGTCGCAACACAAGGCAGGGTTGGAGCAGATGCCCAATCACTTCCCCGAAGGCACGTTTGGGGTTGACCTGCTGCTGCTGAATCAAGAGGTAATGGCCAAAAGCCAAGTGGAGGACCTCGAATAATTGGGCTACCACAGCTCCTTCTGGCTGCCTGCAGGCCGACTGACACAGCTGGCTCAAGAGTGTCACCATCAGCTCTTGCTTGGCCACATAAATGACAGAAAGGGCAGGCGTCGAGAGGATGCCCTGGCAGCAACTCAGGACAGAAGAGATGCTTCTCTGGGATCCTGAGAGAACAAATTCGGCTACTCTTTCATTTATGATCTGAAGATTAAAGAATAAAAAAAAGGCATTACTAACTCATTACCTTAAAACACACACAAGACATTCAACAGGATCAATGACTTTACTCCCTGCTCTCAACTTGATGAGAAAGAAATGCCCAGGCTATCACATCTACTTTGGCCTGACATTTGCTTAATGCTCCATAGAAAAGCAAGCATCTTTTTAAATAACTTTACAGATCAATCTCCTACCAACATAAAGGGACCAACACCCTTGTAAATGTGCTATCCCTCACTAAAAAGCTGGAGTTTAGAAGTCTTACATTCCTGGTTATTTCTTCTTAGATCCTACACCTGTATCAGCTACCAAGGTACCAAGTGGGCCATGCTTTGAGTATGACCAAAATATATTTTTAAGTTAAGTATACTTCTTCTGTTGTAAAAGGAAAACACACCTTTGACAAGGAGGGCAAATATTGGCGATTGCTACTTATTATGCCGTAGCCTCCATATGCTGCTCTGGAAATCCTCAAATTCCCAAACACCAGAAATTACAAAGGCAAGGCAGATTCCTAAGTTCTGTCACATTAATTTGCTTCTGGCCTTCCAGCATTTAAGACTCCAACTTGCCCTGGTCAGTCATCAGTAACTCCATGAGTTAGGTGTCAAACCGCCATTCAAGTAACTTTTGGTCATAGGCCTTTTAGTTACTCTAGAAATGCAGAAACAAAAATGTTCAGTTCCTGAATGCCAACAAATGACCACATCGACAAAGTTTTCCAGAGTCACACCCTACAAGTAGAATTTTTTATAAGTGGCAAACATATATCTAATATTTTAGATATGAAACATAATAAAAATTAAAAATAAATAGGGATGATACTTCCTTTAAATACAAAGAGGTAGTCTTATAATTGTCTCCCCATTTCCCAAAGGATAGTTTTGAGTAATTCACTTTGGTGACCACAGGTTTATTCATTTGCCTTTTCTTCCATTTTATTTCGTATTCCCGCCACAATAACAACTCTTTTAATTTAAACTAATAACCACAGATGATTCCTGAAGGGGCGGCAACAAAGGAACAGGGGTGTCAAAGATTGAGGCCCAGGTGAAGAGTCAGTAAATCTTTACTGGGCTCTTGAAGTTGCTGGCTGCTTGGAGCTGCAGCTGGTAGGCCATCGGGTGCATCTTGAAACCATAAAGCCTGGGTACAAACTGGTTGACATGCCTCTTGGGCCGGTACTTTGGTGCACCACAAAGAGCATGTGAGGGATGCTGAAGTAGGCACTGTCCATGTGGTGCTGCCTGAATGACGTGGGTGTGTACATGTCCATGATCTTGTGACAGTAGAGTTTCACCATGGCTTCACCTGGGACGCCTGACAGGCCAATGGGAAGCATTGGCTGGTTCTTCTCACAGTACACACGGGCACAGTAGCCAAAATCTCCTTGCTGGTACTTTTCCAACATCTGGGTGATGCCATGGTTGGTGAGGATGTAGCGGGAGTGGATCAATCCACGCAGCATCTCTGCCGCCTGCTCAATCTAGTTGGGGTTGTCTTCCAGCTCTTCATCAGACTCTAGGAACAAGATCGTGTCTAGAGCCTGTTGATAGCGGGGAACCTGTTCATTGAGTCCTGTGAGGTTGAACTTATCTTGGATGTAGTCTTCATCCACGTCACAGAAGAATGCATTACCACGGAGCCCACAGAACCAGGTGAACCAGGACACCTCCTCTGAACTGCTCCTCTTCGTGTCAGCTGCTGGGTGGGGACCAGGACTGGGGCAGGGAGGGGAGTCGCTTCCGGGGGCTGGCGGTGAATGCTACAATGACAGCCTCAAACCTGACTATGCCCAGGTCTACTTAGTTTAAAATATGACATAAGTTAATGACCTGTTAAAGCCTATGACCCATCACACGACTCAGCTATTTAATTCTTTGCTGTTATTAGCCCAACTCAACTTTCTCTTTCTACTCAGTAAGGCGGTGCAGGGCTCACAGTGTGGGCTTTGTGATCAGGTACTAAGTTTAAATTCCAACTCTGCCACTTACAAGTTGATTGATTTCAGGCAACTTGACCTCCTTGAGTTTTGTTTCCTTATCTATAAAATGCAGACCAATCAAAAAGAAGCACTGCTGTTACTCATCATCAAAGAGATGATGTTGTCTGTGATAGGATAAGATTTATACGCCTTCAAGGAAGTGCAGTAAATGCAAACATTATTCAAATTTGCACAGCAACTACTAAAGTCGTTGAGGAAAAAACTGAAAAATTCTATCAACTTCTTCTATCTGAAATTGGTCATACACACAATCAAAATATATTGATAATTACTGGTGATTGGAATGTGAAAGTCAAAAACAAATAAGAAGGATCAATGGATGGAAAACATGGCTTCAATGATAGAAATGATTCCAGAAATCACAAGACAGGAGTTTGTAATGAATAAGACTGACAGCTTATTCATTACAAAATAGCTTTCTTCAAAACATCAACTGTAACATGTGGACCTCATTGTATGGGATATAGGATTTAAGTCAATTATATCTATAGAAAGAGACTATAGAGAAGCTCAATTATAATCAGTCAAAACAAGACCAATGGCCAACTATGGAACAAATCATCAACTGATCAAGCTAAAGCTGAACAAAAAAAATTTTAAGGTCATGACAATCAAACTATGATCGTTAATATATCCCATCTAAATTTAGAGACCATTCAAGAATAGATTTGACTCCCTCAACACTGAAGACTGAAGCCAAGCTATGAGATGACATCAAGAACATCGTTCATGAAGAAAGTAGAGGTCCTTAAATAGATAGGACAGGAAGAAAAGACCAAGAAGACCCTGACACTCGCTCCTGAATGTACCGTGGCTACAGCGAATGGAAGAATGGAGAGCCGAACAGCTCGTTTCAATGAGCAGCTGAAGAAGACTGGGCACCGTGCAAAGACCTGGATGAAAAATCCCAAAGAAAAGAACATGCCAGGCATTTCTCAAGGTGAAAGAACTTAAAAAAATCGAATAACAATATAGAAATGCATTGGCAATACATTGAATGATACAAGGAGCAGCAAGGGAGGCAAAAGGAATATACACAGTAACTGTACCAAAAGGAAATGGTCAATACTTAACCCTCTTAAGAGGTAGCATATGGTCAATAACTGCTTGTGTTGAAGGAAGAAGGCCAAACTGCACTGAGCCATTGGCAAAAAGAAAAAAGAAAAAATCCCGGAATTGATGGGCTACCAACTGCGATGTTTTATTTTTTTTTAATTTTTTTTTGCGATGTTTTAAAAGACAGATGTGATGTTAGAAGTGCCAAGTAATATGGAAGACAGCTACCTGACCAAGTGACTGGAATCTGTATCCATGCCAAAGAATACACAAATTGTTAAACAATACCATGAATATCACAGACACATAAAGTTTTGCTAAAGACTTTTTCAAAACTAACATTTTAAAATATGATTGCAGCAGTAAATCAGCAGAGAATAGCAAAAAACTCAAGCCAGATTCAGAAGAGGATGTGGAACAAGGGATTTCATTGCTAATATTAGATGGATTATAGATTAAAGCCGAAAATACAGAAAGATTTTTATTTGTATTTTATTAACTATGTAAAGGTATTCAATTGTGTGGATCACAACAAAGGATAATACAAAGAGTGAAAAACAAAAACAACAAAAAATGAAAATCCTAGAACACTTAAATGTGCTAATGTGGAACTTGCATTTAAACCAAGAGGCAGTCATTCAAAAGAATAAACAATTATATGGTTTAAAACCAGGAAAGGGAAAAAAAATCAGGAAAGGTACATATCTGAGGTAGTATCCTTTTGCCACAATTATTCAACCTATGGGCAAATATTTTGAGAACCTAGACTATATGAGGAATGATATAGTTAAAGTTATTGTGCCAACCTAGCCGATAACCACATGTGGGGTTAATTGAAGGGTGGAGGTATAAATGGCTCAGTGAGCCTCACCTTTCTAGTTCTCTGGTCTCTTGCTTTGTGATGGTCGCACCGGGTGCAGCTGCTTAGCCAGTTCCCTGCTTTAGCTTGCAAGGCTGACTTCCTGCAAGACATCCCCAAGGAGAAGCTGCATGGACCTACCCCGATGCAGCCCAGGGTGCTGAATCACCCATGTGGAGACGCCTGCCAGCGCTGAAATGTTTACACATTCACTGACTCGGCTTTCTTCCTGCAGACGGCATCACTGCATGTCTTTGGTGAGATGGAGGAGGACTTTGTGGATTGGTGTTGGACATATGGGTTAATGTTGGACTTATGGGTTTGGGCAGCACTGGGTTGGGATGTTTTCTTGATGCGCACTTACCCTTTATAGAAAACTCTCTTATACCTGAGTTTCTGTGGATTTGTTTCGCTAAAGTACCCAGACTAACACAAGGAAGAACAAGGCATTAGGAAGGAAAGAAGGCTTATTAACAATTTCTTTGAACAAAGATGGCATTTTGAGGACTAAGGCATTGCTAACCTAAGCAATGGTGTGTGCAATCACCTGACAAGCATTCAAAAGCTAGACAACGAATAAGGAAGACTGAGGAAAAACCGATGCATCTGAATTAGTCTTGGTGAAGAACACTGAGTATACCATGGACTGCCAGAAGAACAAACAGAAGAAATACACCCAGAATGCGCTTTGGAAGAGGGGGATGGCCAGACTTCTTCTCACATATTTTAGACATGTTATGAGAAGGGAGTAGCTGTTTAAAAAAAAAAAAAAAGACGTCATGCTTGGTAAAGGAGAGAGGCAACAAAGAGGAAAACCTCTTTGAGACAGACTGGCCCAATGGCCTCAAATTCCGCAACAACTGTGTGGATGGCACAGGACCAGACACTGTTTTGTTGCAAACAGGATTGCTACAAATTATGGCCAACTCAACAGCAGCAACATGCATGGAAACACTGTCGGCCTAGTGTCTACAGCCACGATTCTCAACCTGTGGGTCGTGACCCCTTTGGGGGACAAACAACCCTTATACAGGGGCTCATCCAATTCATAACAGTAGCAAAATTACTGTTATGAAGTAGCAACGAAAATAAATTTATGGTTGGGTTTTACCACAACACAAGGAACTGTTTTAAAGGGTCATGGCATTTAGGAAGGTTGAGAATCACTGGTCTAGAGCTACTAAATGCCCATCAGGGGTGGTTTATTTTACACTACCTATGCTCATATTTCAAAGTATTACATTTCAACTATGAAGTTTCATGGGTCTAACCTGAGATTTCAGAATCACTTAGCGTCAATAGCCTTTGAAGAAATTTCTGTTTAGATTTTGGCCTTAGATCTTTCTCCAGGACAAGAAGAAAAGACAGAAAACCAGAAAAACATCATTTGCTGGGTATATATTCCACTTTAAAACATAATAGCCAGTTTATAAAACAGCACTAAGCTTTTCTTAAATATTAAATAACAAAAAGCACTTCTCACAGTTTGCGATAGATAGCTTTATTATGCCAACCTGGCCAATAGGAACGTGGGATTAATAAGGTCATAGTGTGATTGGAGGGCAAATAGATAAATGGCTTGACAAGGCCCGCCTCTCTCTCTTGCTCTCTAGTGATCAGACCAGTGTTTGGCTGCTTTAGCTAGTTCTCTGCCTCAACTTGTGAGCTACACTACCTGTGGGACAGCCAACCCCTGGGTCCTGTCACTAGAGCTTGAGGTTCCTTCAAGACCTGCTTCACCATGCTGCTGGTGTGTACAACATTTGAGCTTGAGGCTGGTGGATCCTGTTGTCTTGCATTGCTTGAGTTCGATATCCCATCCATGCCTGCTTTGATAAGCTCCTGAGCTGCTGACTGTTGGTGACCGGCCCTGCAGTTTGCTGCCTGTGGGCAGACTGCCTGCATTACCTGAGGGAAGACTCAGCTGTCTGCTTCCTTGACCTTGGACCCAGCAGCTCACATGAGCTGAAGGACTTCCAGTATACTAACTGTTCCACAGAAGTGAGTTGGACTGAGTCCTCTGTACTGCTGTGTGGACTAATTAGATGTTATATTCCTTCGTGCTGTATAAATCTGTATATATATATATAAAATCATAAGTGTCCTGGTTTTGTTTCTCTAGAGAACCCTGCCTAACACAGTGTGAGCACAGAATACACATTCAGTAAATATCATTGATACTTATAACTTTAACAACTATTATTATTTCCTTCTTTTCCTCTATCTTATTATTTCTTGGATTTCATATAATTGATCCTAAAACAAATACCGTATATATTTGAGTATAAGCCAACCCGAATATCAGCAGAGGCACCTAATTTTACCACAAAAACTGCATTAAAAATGTGCTGAAAAACTCAGCTTATACACGAGTATATACGTTAAGTATCCAAATAGTACTTTGAGCAGTACCATTTCAAAAGAATCAAATCCCTTTCCTGAACTTAGCTATAATTTCTAAAACTACTTTTAAGTAAACTCACAATTCCATGCCAAGTTTCACTTAATTTCCAAATTAAATGTCAAATACTCTGCTACTGAGTGACTACAATCTGTAAGTATCTTTCTATCTAAATTTGCACTTAGAAATATTAAAAGGGATCCATTTTAGACAACAAACCTCACCAGCCTGTGTCAAATTATATGATGACACAGGGCAGGAAAGTAAAAGGTTACTAAGGGAGGAGCTAGGAAGAAATCTGGTTCATTTCTCTAGCCAAAAAAGCAAACAAACACATACACTCTCTGCACTGAGTCCATTCTGCCTCATGTGACCCTACAAGGAGGGTTAGCAATGCCCCTGTGTGCTCCTGAGACTCTCACTCTTTATGGTAGTAGAAAGCCTTGTCTTTTCCTGCAGAGCTGGCTGGTGGTTCCAAATTGTTGGTTTTATGGTTCGCAGCCCCACTCGTACTCCACTCCACCACAAATCAAGTACACCTAATAGTTTTTCTATCTCCCAGGAAGCTGAAAACAGGAAATTCAGAGACACACACAGCACGTACAGGACCATATAAGACTGTTACTTACCTTGATCAGTGAAATCTGGAGGTTAATTGTCTTTCCATTTTTGAAGAGATTCTGCAATTTTCTGCTATGTAAAATATTATCTATATAGATCCACAGCCTTTCAACAATGTCTTCCTTCAGTTCAAGTCTTTTCTTATAAAATGCAACCAATGATTGCCTTGCCCAATCAAGCAATACCTGAATTTGAAAGAAACATACTCTGAAAATAAATGAAAGCCTTTTCAAGAAACACTGATACGCTTATAACAGTATTAAAAACACACTGCTTTCAAGTCAATGCTGGCTCATAGTAACTCCCCTGTCGGTTTCGAAAACTATAATTGTTTACAGGAGTAGAAAGCCCAGTCTTTCTCCCTCTGAGCTACTGGTGGTTTCGAACTGCCAACCATGTGGATTGCAGCCCAACAAATAACCACTACATACCACCTGGGCTCCTGTAACAGTATATAAGCTTTAAACAAATTTACATGCCATGGTGGGTAGGGCAGGGAGGGGAACTGTCCTTGAAAATTTACTTCTGGTAATACTAAACCAAAAAACACACTGCGATCCCCGCTGATGCTGACTCGTAACAACCCTGTTGAACAGGACAGAATTGCCCCTGCAAGTTTCCAAGATTGTAACTTTAAAAAAATCATTTTATTGGGGGCCCTTACAGTTCTTATAACATTCCATACATCAATTGTATCAAGCATATTTGTACATATGTTGTCATTTCCAAAACATTTTCTTTCTACTTGAGCCCTTGGTATAATTTCTATTTTCCCTCTCTCCCCCACCCTCGTGAATCCTTGATCAATTATATATTGTTGTTATTATTTCATATCTTACACTGTCCATTGTCTCCCTTTCACCCACGTCTGTTATTTGTTCCCTTTGTAGGGGGCGGCTATACATCCAACCTTGTGATGGGTTCCCTCTTTCTCCCCCTTCCCCTCCCCAACCAAACCCCTAACCTCATTATATCACTACACCCACTACTGTCCCTTAGAGGTTTATCTGTCCTGAATTCCATTTATAGAGAGGTCCTATCTGTGTGCTCCTCAGTCTAGCCAGATTTGTAAGGTAGAAAGTCTTGTCTTTTCTCCCTCCAAGCGCTGGTGATTTCAAACTGCTGCCCTTGTGGTTAGCAGCCCAACATACAACCACTACATTACCAGGACTTCTGATAATATTACATTATAAAATGTTTTGATATTTTAAATGTTTATTATGAAAGAATCAATATAAAGTGGGGGAAATGCTTTAATTTTATCTTTATCAGAGCAACAAGTAATGTTCAGGTAAAATTCTAGAAAATCTTATCCCCCTTCTCTCAAGTTACTCTAGGTTTCAAAAACAGCGATTACTCAGAATGGCCACAGAATGAGTCACAAACCTAAATTTAAAAAATTTTTTAAGTTGCCACAGAGTCAATTCCAAGTCATGGTGGCCCATGTGTGCCTAATTAGAGCTGAACTCTATGGATTGTCAATGGAGGATTTGGGGCAGTAGATCACCAGGTCTTTTTTTTAAGACACCTTTGGGTAGATTCAAACATCCAACCTTTTGGGTTAGCAGTCAAGTGTGCTGATTGTTAGCACTACCCAGAGAACAAAGAATAAGCTCCTGGCTTGTGTCCTACCTTTTCCATGTTATCCATACCCAACCTCTTAGTCTATCTACCTCACCTAAAAAATAGAAGTTTATGTCAAATAATGTGGAAGGGCTTTATGAAAAATAATGGCATCTATACATAGTTTCCAATATTGTGATGTTTATTTATTCATAAAGCACTGTAAAAATTCATAAAGGCTCCATTCATGCTCTCAAAAACTGTAATAATTTTACACATCAGGACAGGTACAACAAGGAAAAAAATTAAATAAATAAAGCTCTCAGGACATCCATGGTGGAGGCCTTGATAAAACAGTCTGCTACCAACTTCCCCTTTGATTGTATTCTTATGAAGCACTTACAAGGTGATCCTCACACTGCCAAGGTGATTCTACATTTAGAAAGCATTAAATATGATAGTTGACTACACTGTACCTCCTCAGCATTTAACCTATGTAATCTATCTTTGATGCATTTTGTTCTGGCTTCTTTAACACAAGCATGTGAGTTTCTTTTAATCCAATCTCACGAGTTCATTGACATGCTGTTGGTACTGTAATCACAATCATCTTTGGCCAAATAAAACTTGAGAAACATTAAACAAGGGCAAGTTGTTTCTGGCAACTACTACTCTACAACCAAACTTCCAATTTACCATATTCCATGTTTTTAACAAAGCACTCCTTTGGGTTTACAAACAAATAGAGCTTCCTACAAACTTTTAGAATCTAACTTCTACAACCTAATTCCCAATGTGTTTGCTCATGCATATACTTAATCTGTAATGTAAGTATTATTTCCCTACATAAAAGAAATGCTCTCTAAAGTTCTGTAACAGAAAAACTTTGTCAATGAATTATCTGCCCCTTTATTTCCACTAGCATTACTTTTACCTTCCAACAAAGTTTCTTCCCTCAACCTTTCTTTCATCTTTTTCTCCCATTAAATGTCAATATGCAATTTATACAGATGCTAACTGTTTTTAAAAAATGTTTCAAAAAACACGTATATGTTTCATTTTAAACTTACTTGTTCTTTATTTGGAAGAAAGCACTGATGTGAAATCCAAGCGAAGTGAGCGAGTTTTAGTTTATCTTCCCAGGAAGTTGTCTTGCTTTTAAGCTTAAGGGAAATGCCAGAATAAACGGCAGCCATCACGATATTTTACCTGCAATTAAAAACAATGGGACTACAGTGAGTTACCAGGAGAAAGGAAATAATAAAGTGTAGAGCAGAAACAACAACAAAAGGAAACAAAATTGTACTCCAATAAATTTGAAAACCTAGAGGAAATGAAGAAATACACATGCTCTTTAAAGATGTTTTGTTTTTTTTTCAAAATAGGAAGCAAAAACAATCAGAAGGAGCTAAATCAGGACTATAAGATAGACGCTTAGTGGGTGTTAACAAACCTAGGAACAAGGGAACAAGTGATCTAAAATCGATGGTGAGGAGGGCGTAGGATGCCTGGTAGAGCTTGATCAAGGGTGATGTAACCAAGAGGAATTACTGAAAATCGAATGAAGGCTGAACATGATAATGGGTGTGTTAGTCTGGGTAAACTAGAGAAACACATTCATAATCACGCTTATGTATATAAAGGAGAGGTTTATATACAAGAGGAATGGGACATTGAAAACACATTCCAACCTATTTCAGTCCATGTGGTTGGAATGGGGTGCCAGCCCCCCACCACGAATCACGGGTTCGATGGGCACAATTATATGGTTATTATAAAGTCATAGAGAGCTTGAGATATGGGAGAGTCAAATAATGGAGTCAGACACATTTCATGGTAGCATGCTCACCTCCTGGATGGCCATGATCTTACCAGCTAGATCCACGCATAGCATGGGCCGAGGTGAGATGGGGCGGATACCCGGCAGGAGGCTCCAGAACTGGGCAGGAGGCTGGAGGACCCTGTTTATTGCTAACCAAGGGTTATATCTACTTCGGGGGGCGTGATTGCAGGTAACCACGTCACAGAAAGGGGCAGTACAATAGGCATACACATTATAGGAAGGGGATGTACAATGACGGGAAGAGGATGAGCTAGGGGTGTACACATGATAGGAAGGGGAGGGACTAGGGGTATACATGTGACAAGAAGGGCGGACCCTAGATTCATGATGGCGGCCTAACCTTGGTCACCCTTGGGTGGGCTCGATCTCTCTGGGGTCTCCTACAAGGAAACAGTCAACTACTATCCTTATCAGAAGGGAGTGGAGCCTATTTGTTGTGGGATAGACAGTGGTGACTGCTTGGTCTAGATGGCTGATAACCCTTAGGGAGAATAACCCCTGATCTACTTCTGATTATCTCCAAGTGTATAGTCATTTGCAAGCAGCTAAGTTTGGCATATATTTGGGGGGAGACAGCTTGGGAGAAATCCTTCTGTTTCCCACAAGTCCAAGGCCATAAATCTGATATTAGCCCACATGTCCGATACCAATCTATAAAGTCCTCTTCAGACTCATGAAACACATGCAATGAAGTCAAATG